CTGGAGTGCAGTGGCATGCTCCCGGCCACCGCAGCCTCTACCCGCTGGGCTCCGGCGATCCTTCTGCCTCAGCCTTCCAAGTAGCCAGAACTACAGACACGCGCTACCACACCCGGCTCATTTTTTATTTATTGTAGAGATGAGGTCTCGCCTAGTGGCCCAGGCAGGTCTCAAACCTGCGAGCTCAAGCAGTCCACTCACCTTGGCCTCCCAAAGTGCTGGGATTACAGGCTGAGCCACTGAGCCCGGCCTATTTTTTTTATTTTTTAGGGTTTTTTTTTTTTCTCTTGAGTTGGAGTCTCACTCTGTCTCTCAGGCTGCAGTGCAGTGGCACACTCATGACCACCACAGTCTCAACCTGCTGGACTCAGGCATTCCTTCTGCCTCTTCCTTTTAAGTAGCGGAAACTATAGGCATGTACCCCCACACCTGGCTAAAATTTTGATTTATTGTAGAAGACAAGGTCTCACCAAGTTGCCTAGGCTAGTCTTGAACCCCTGAGCTCAGGCAATCCTCTCACCACTGCCTCCCAAAGTGCTGGGATTATAGACATGAGCCACCGTACCTGACGTTGCAAATATCTTTAATGCTTGACTTCAACAGAAGACAATTTGATTCTAATATCTGCTTCTGCATGCAGTCTATTGCAATATATTGTTTAGGATGAAGTATAAGAACAAAAGCAGCCTGGCATGGTGACTCACGCATGTTATCCCAGCATTTTGGGAGGCCAAGGTAGAAAGTGACTTGAGTCTAGGAGGTTGAGATCAACCTGGGCAACATAGTAAGACCTCATCTCTACAAAAAGTAAAAAATTTAGCCGGATGTGGTGGTGTGTGCCTGTAGTCCTAGCTACTAGGGAAGCTGAGGAGGAGGATCACCTGAGCCCAGAAGACTGAGGATGCAGTGAGCCGTGATCATGCTGCTATACTCCAGAGTGAGCAACAGAGTAAGCTTGACTCAAAAAAGCAGACCTTACCAGAGACAAGTTGGAAAATGGAGCTCCTCCTGGACTCCTGGAAAGGCTCTTAGGAATCCCCCAAGGTCCTTGGGTCACCCTTTGGGAGCTGCTAGTCTATGTCATTACCTAAATTGTCTCATTTAGTGCCATTATCTCCAGCATGTCATTCTTTTATATTTGTTTTATTTTGAGTCAGAGTCTCACTCTGTCACCCAAACTGGAGTGCAGTGGCACAATCACAGCTCACTGCAGCTTCTTTAGCTTCACTAGTGTAAATTTTTTAAAATTTTTATTATTATTATTTTGAGTTGGAGTCTCACTCTGTCACCCGGGCTGGAATGCAGTGGCATGATCACGACCACCGCAGCCTTGACCTGCTGGGCTCAGGTGATCCTTCCACCTCAGACTTCCAAGTAACTGGAACTACAGCACGTGTCACCATGCCTGGCTAATTTTTTGATTTATTGTAGAGATGAGATCTTACCAGGTTGCCCAGGCTGGTCTTGAACCCCTGGACTCAGGCAATCCTCTCACCTCGGCCTCCCAAAGTACTGGATTATAGGCATGAGCCACCATGCCAGGCCTATTTTCTATTTTAAATTACGTGCTCTTAGTATTTATTTTATTGTGGTAGAGTACATGTAACAAAATTTATGATTAGTGACATTTAGTACATAAACAACGCGCACCCATCATCACTCTCTAATTCCATAACATTTTTATCACCCCAAAAGGAAACTCTGCATCTTTATTTGTGTTGCTCTAAAGGAATAACTGAGGCTGGGTAATTTATGAACAAAGATGTTTATTTGGCTCACAGTTCTGCAGGCTGTGCAAGAAGCATGGTGTGAGCATCCGTTTCTGGTGAGGGCATCAAGAGGCTTTCACTGGTGGCCGAGGGTGAAGAGGAGCAGGCATCACATTTCTTTTCCTTTTTTTCCTTTTTATTTATTTCTTTTTCTTTTTCTTTTTTATTTTATTTTAAAGATGTGGGGTACAATTCAGGGTTAGGTATACAAATGTTCATTTTGAAGGTGACCTTGTTGAGATGTGCCTCTCCTTCCCCCGGCAGTTTTCCGCTACTACCAATCCCTTTCTTATAGTATTATGAGAACTTATAGTTTAAGGTCCGCTTATGAGTGAGAACATGTGGTACTCAGTTCTTTGTTTCTGTGATAGATCACTGAGTATGATTGACTCTAAATCCATCCAAATTGCTGCGAAGCCTATATGTTTGTCCGTCTTTATGATATTCCATTGTGTATATGTACCACATTTTAAACATCCAATCCACCTTCGATGAGCAGCAGGGTTGATTCCATGTTTTTGCTATTGTGAATAGAGCAGGCATCACTTTTCAAGACAGGAAGGAAGAGAGAAAGAGAGGAGGGAGGTGACAGGTTTGTTTATAACTAAAAGAGTGAGAATTCACTCATTACTAGAAGAATATCACCAACCTATTTGCCCCAATGTCCAAAACACCTCCCACCAGGCCCCACCTCTAACATTGAGAATCAAATTTCACATGCGCTTGGGAGGGGAAAATTATCCAAACTATATCACTGTGTGTCTATTAAGTAGTCACTCCCCATTTCCTTCCTTACCCCAGCTCTTGACTTTTTGTCTCTATAGATTTGCCAACCATCAATATTTTATATAAATGGAAGCATAAAATGTGTGACTTCTAGTGTCTGGTTCTTTTGCTTGGCATAATGTTTTGTTTTGTTTTGAGTTGGAGTCTCACTTTGTCACCCAGGCTGGAGTGTAGTGACACTCTGCAGCCTCAACCTGCTGGGATCAGGCAATCCTTCCACCTCAGCCTTCCAAGAAGCTGGAACCAAAGGCATGTGTCACCACGCCTGGCTAATTTTTTGATTTAGACGAGGTCTTGCCCTGTTGCTCAGACTGGTCCTGAATCCCTGAGCTCAGACAATCCTCTGGCCTCCGCCTCCCAAAACGCTGGGATTACAGGCATATGCTGTTGCGCCTAACAGCATTTCAAGGTTTACCCATGTTGTAGCATCTATCAGTACTTTATTCTTTTTGACAGCTAAGTAATATTTCATTGTATAGATAGACTACATGATGTTTATCTGTTCATCCGTTTATGGATATTTGAGTTGTTTTCACCTTTTGGCCATCGAAAAGTGCTGCCATGAATATTTGTATACACATTTTTATTTAGACACCTGTTTTCAGTTATTTTGGCTGTTTACCCAGGACTAGAATTGCTGGATCATATGGCAATAGTGTGTTTCACTTATTTAGGAACTCCTTCACAGTAAAAAAAAAATAGTTATCTACTAATGCTTTATTGAAAGCTGCAATCCCGGGGCCTGAAGAGTGAAGCAGGGAAAGAATGAAAACCAAATGCGTACAATTAATTAATCTAAAAATGATGTATTTTTTACATAATCATACTACCATTACTGTGCCTAACAAAATTAACAGTATGTATTCTTTTTACTAAACAGGGATCACAATTTCCAGCAGCCATGGGGAATGCTGTCACTCAGGTACCAGCTGAAACAAACTCTTCAACAGAAGGTTTCATGCAGGTTTAGTGCCATGATGGGGAAACTGCAAAGCAAACTTAAACACAGCACTTATAAATACAGGTAACAACAGTCCTGCCCTGGGATTCCAAGTTTATCATGCCCCGTTAAAACTCTCCACTACGGGCCGGGCTCAGTGGTTCAGCCTATAATCCCAGCACTTTGAGAGGCCAAGGCAAATGGATTGCCTGAGCCCGCGGGTTCAAGACCAGCCTGGGCAACTTGGCAAGACCTCGTCCCTACAATAAATCAAAAATTAGCTGGGCGTAGTAGCGCACGCTTGTAGTTCTGGCTACTTGGAAGGCTGAGATGGAAGAATCACCAGAACCCAGCAGATCGATGCTGGGGTGACTGTGAGTGTGCCACTGCACTCCAGCCTGGGTGACAGAGTAAGACTCCACCTCAAAAAAAAAACAAAAAAAAAAACAAAAAGAAAAAAACTCTCCACTAAGGAAAGAGAAGGCCCGGGGTAAGTGCTGGTAACCTTCCCTGAACGGTTTGGTCTGTCTTCCTTTGGATAAGAAATAGTTTATTAGCTAGTGTCTGCATCCACACACAGATTAATCTCTAGTATGAGCAAAGACTCCTGGCTTCTTGGCTTGATTCCCCTTTATCAGATTCTAATCATTCAGTCATTCTGAGCATTTTCAGAGTAAAGAATACCATTGTGACGATGACAGTGGATCTCCTTTCTCTACTCCTTTTTCATCTTTCTCCTCAGTCTGGCCTGACTTGCCTCTTGAGCCCACACTCTTCTTCCCCATGCTCCCCTGTCCAATCCCATGCCACTGGGCCTCTCATTTTCCATCCTTTCTTTAGCAGGCCCGATGGGATCATAGAAGAAAGAATTCAAACTAAAGCTTTTCAAGAATATAGCCCAGCTCATTCGGATACTGTCTCTGCTGTTGCTGCTCTGAACTCAGACCTTTGTGTCTCCGGAGGAAGAGATAAGGTGGGGTTTGAAGTGTTTCCTAGGAAACTGATTTAATGCAGGGAAGGGAAGATACTTTGAAAGGAAGTCTAGGACTTGCATTTCTGGGAGCAGCATTGATGAGTGTAAAAATATGGGCTTTAGGAAGCCTGGGTTTACTCCTTTCTCAGCCCCTTCTTATTACGTTGGGCAAATCATTACATTTTTTGAACTTCTTATCTTGTAAGTGGGGATAATAACACTACCTCACAAGTCAGTTATAAGGACTAATTGAGAAAATATAGGTGAGATCTTTAGCACTATGCCTGACTACCCACATGCTTTCTGTGAGTGACAAGGATTATTCTTCTAGCCAGTCCCTTTTTATATGTACACAAAAATGCAGGAGTTATTTGTCACCAAAAGGAACTTTGTAGTCTCTTCTTTTATGCTGTGTTTTTGCCAAAATCTCTACTGTGTATGTCATGATTCCCCTCTTCTGTGTTTTTGTCCTCCCTCCTATTGCCACTTTGAATCCAATTACTTTCTCTCCTTTATATTTGGATCTATCGTTACACTCACAGCTAGGATATTGGTAGCAAAAACACTGATTCTTTTTGTAGTAAATAATACTAATAATGCCTCTCATTTTCATTAGCCTTTTAGAATCTTCAGATTCCATTTGCATACTATATTTCACTTATTCTAAGATGTACATGTTATCATATTATTTATTTATTAATTTATCTTTGAGTTGGGGGATCTCACTGTCTCCCAGGCTAGAGTGCAGTGGCTCAGTCACAGCTCATCGCAGCCTTGACCTCCTGGCTCAGGTGATTCTTCTGCCTCAGCCTCCCGAGAAGCTGGGACTACAAGTGTACTACCATGCACAGCTAATTTTTTTTTTTTTTTTGTAGAGATGGGGTCTTACTATGTTGGCTAGTCTGGTCTTGAACTCCTGGGCTCAAGCAATTCTTCTGCCTCGGCCTCTCAAAAGTACTGGGATTATAGGTGTGAGCCATTGTGTTTTTACATTTTACACCTCTGAGATAAATCAGGATACATCTAAGACTCATTCTTTAATTAGCAGCACTTTATCTTAAAAATCTCTATCATCTTAGATGTAAGAAATTTTAGGCTGGACTCAGTGGCTCAGCCTGTAATCCCAGCACTTTGGGAGGCTGAGGTGAGTGGTTTGCCTGAGCCCAAGGGTTTGAGACCAGCCCCGGCAACTTGGCAAGACCTTGTCTCTACAATAAATTAAAAAAAAAAAAAATTAGCTGGGCATGGTAGTATGCGCCTGGAGTTCGCGCTACGTGAGAGGGTGAGGCAGAAGGATCGCCAGAGCCCAGAGATTGACACTGGAGTGGCTGTGA